TTTCCAACCCAAATAATTCTATTATTTTGTACTAATTTCTTTTAACACAGCTTTGCATTTCTTTTTATCACAGAGAACAACTCACCTTCAAAATATAGTCCATGCAATTATCATACCTCTCTGACTTGTCTTTATGAGCAGCTCAACCATTACTTGTAATGAAGATTAATATGTATTTCTGTGTCTGTATATCCCTATACCTCACATTTGGAACTAGTCAAATATAGCACAATTATGAGTTGCTACATCCACTTTACATTATTTATAGGAATTTACCAGCATCTCAGTGTTGTTCATTTAAACTGGGTGTTGTTCAGAAAATATCTTGTTACTCAATCCCAAAGAAATGACAAAGACACAGTTCTTAGTATGAAAAAGTACTTGACCTACATTACACATAAAACTAGCCTACAAGTGTTGAAATACACTTTTATTACCTCAAAAATCTCGTTTTTCAGATAACTGGCAATAGGGAATCTTGTTTTAATACTCGACACAAGCAACAAGAATGAAGTGTTTAAAATCACTTTCTTCCACAGCATCTCTTAGAATTTCCATCTCAACAGTGATGTTGGCATCACAGGGGTGTCTTGTGTAATTAGTAGTTGGTTAGTTATATGCATTGATAAAAATCAACTGTTACCTTACTAAGTAATATTGACTGACAAATTCCATCTTTTACTGGTTAATGATTGTTTTACTTGGTTCTCCTTTTACCAACAACTGGTGTGATCACTCCTAGCTTTTATATAAATGTGTATTTGAGATGTGGGAAGACAAATGGACCCTAAATAAATGGTCTGCCACATTTTTCCCCCATTGATTTTCTGAAAGAAATAACTGCACAAGAAGTATGAAATATTTCTGGTATGCCTACATGATGAACATCACATAGCAACAACCATCCAGCATATGCAGCCTATGGCTATTTGGGTCCCAGGTAGTACTTGAGCACTAAAGTCCATGATTTCATGGGTACAGAAGCAAAAGCTCCAGAGGTAAATGCTGGATGTGAGTGTATGGGGGGTGCCATTGCACTGCAGCTGCAGTGCAAACATGGAAGATAATTCCTTCACCCAGATCCAAACATCTGAGCTACCTGGAGAAGGTGGCATCAGGAAAGAAATATGCTGAGGTGCTGATGTGTGTCCAGAGAAGGGCAATGCAGCTGATGAAGGGTCTAGAGAGTAAGTCATATGAGGAGTGGTTGAGGGAGCTGTGGGCGTTTAGCCTGGAGAAAAGGAGGTTCAGGGGAGACCTTATCTCTCTCTACAACTACCTGAAAAGAGGCCATAGGCAGGTAGAGGTTGGCCTCTTCTCCCAAGCAAATAGTGATAGGGTAAGAGGACACAGCCTCAAGCTGCACCAGGGGAGGCTTAGGCTGGAAATTAGGAAGAATTTCTTCAGGGAGAGGGTTGTCAGATATTGGAATGGGCTGCCCAGGGAGGTGGTAGAATCACCATCTCCGGAGGTGTTCAAGAAATGACTAGATGTGTTACTTAGTGCTCTGGTCTGGTTGGCAAGGATGTAATTGGTCAAAGGTTGGACATAATGATCTTAGATGTCTTTTCCAGCCTAAATGATTCGGTGACCTGGAAGGCTCTTGATTCTCTCTGTGAGTCATCGTGAGCAGCTTCCATAACCTGTGCTTCTGCCTTCCTCCCCCTAGTCACTCTCTGCAGTGTCCTAGGGCCATCCTTTTCTCCTCCTTGATGACTTTCTCCTCTGCATCTCATCTCTGTCATGTCTGTGCCCTGAGTGGCAGCAGCTGCCTGAGAGGGTGAGGAGAAGGGGTAAGCTCAGGTCAAGTTCCTACACTGCTGACCATGGCACTACATGCAGTCTTGGAGCCACAGCACAGTCTTGCTATGAGTATTGCACAGCCCATGGAAAGAGAGATCCTGCAGGGAGCAAGCCAGAGCAGAAATCCAGCTTATAGGCTCTAAATTTGAGCTCCTCTGTTTATATTGGCTGTAGAAGGAGCATAAGGAGGTGTTATTGTCATTAAGAGGGCACATGGCCTATGCTGGGTGATGCAAAACTCCTCAAAGGCACAGGTCAGCAACATTTTGATATTTAAATGAGCTCAAGCACATACCAGGGTTTGCATTCAAAACTGATTGCAAAAATATAAGCATTTCAACTCCCATCTACGACTTCAAGTGTGAACATGCAGAGTGCACTAAATGAGGTACAGACCAGTCTGTGTCAATGGGTGCTGGATGAAAAATGTCAAGTTAGCAGAGCAGGAATATTCCAGACCCATCTCACTTGTCCTCTGCATTCCTGGCCATTAATATAAACGATTTTTCTAGTGGTAGGAAATGTGACTAAAACTTTTAATCAGCTCCCGAAGTGATTAACACCAGTTAGTAACAGCCTTATAAACTTACTTTAAAGTCAACCAGTATTCAGTGCAGATGGCATTTCCAACCTCAACTGAAACTGGTTAGCGAAGTTTCAGTGGAAAACTGTTTTCAGGACATGGAGCTTTTGCCAACTTCAAATATGGATTTCACTGCACACCATGAATCTTGAAACAATGAGATTTCAGAATCAGCTCTTTTCCTATCCAACCCAGTCTCAATGTGTGCAGCACCTGATTGTTTTTATATTAAGCTAAAAGGCCACAGCTGCATCCCAAAACTCAACACTGAGCATATAACCTTCAACTTGTCCTTAAACAGACAAGGTTTTGTGCTACCAGTGGAGCCCTGGAGTATGGAAACCCTGAAAAATCTTTCCAAGTGCAATGGTAACAGGATAAATTAAGACCTAGAAAGCCACTGCACTTCGGGATAATCAAGTAACATACAGATTTCTGCCACAAAAGAGTCAACCACTCAGAGTACTCATAATCCCTCCTGACTTTCACACTAGATCATTTTCCAGCCAGTGCTGGACTTGCATGTCATATTACAGTTGTACCCATGAGAAATACAGCAACAGTAGCTAGGCAAGCTCTCTGCTTGCGACAGAGGGGGAAGGTGTTACATTACCCTGGGCTGCCATGAAGTCATCCTGTTCGAAAGAGAGCTGAAAGCTTTTGGTTTCTGAGACAAACAGCTAAGAATAGCCCTCAGGTAGACGAATTCAAGTGTAAAAGCAGTAAGTTTCTGTGTTTTCTGACTACACCTCTGCAGTAATATATGAATCAGTGTCGGTGGCTGACTATGAACTTGATTTATACCAATTTTGCCCAGAGAAGTTGTGGCTGCCCCATCCCTGGAAGTGTTCAAGGCAAGATTGGATGGGACCCTGAGCAACCTGGTCTGGTGAAAGGTGCCTCTGCCCATGGTAAGGTTGTTGGAACTAGATGATCTTTAAGGTCCCTTACAACCCAAACCGTTCTATGATTCTACAGTTTAGCAGGTCTTTCTATTAATGCCCATGTCACATTTTCTCTGAAAGATGCCTTTCAAAACTAGCCTTACTGTAACCTATCCATCACTGAAAGTGGCAGCTCCCTCAGCCAAAAGAATGAGCTACATATTTCATGAAAAAGAGCCAAAATGCCCCAAGTCACACCCTGGGAGAAAATTGCTTCCCTGTTCAGATCAGCTCAGAATATGAGTCAAGAACTGCAATGTTAAGAAAGATGGATTTGACTGTAAAGGCAGTGGAGTGTTATGAATATTCATTTTTTTTAAAAATCCAAACAAATCCCTTCTTATCATCCAATTCAGAAATGATCACTCAGAATGTAGTTAATGTCCACGGCTGCCTGAACCCTGAGACAAATACTGGACCTCTTGCAAACCATACTGAGACCAAAGAAATTAAAAATCATTTAGGTTGGAAAACGCCTCCAAGATCATGAAGTCCAACCATTAACCCAGCACTGCCAGGTCCATCATTCAATCATGTCCCCAAGAGCCACATCTACACAGCCTTTAAATCCCTCCAGGGCTGGTGACTCCACCACTTCCCTGGGCAGCCTGTGCCAGTACCTGACAAATCTTTTGGTGAAGAAGCTTTTTCTAATGTCCATTCTAAACTTCCCCTGGGGCAATTTGAGGCCATTTACTCTTGTCCTATCTCTTTCAAAAATAAAAGAAGAAAGAAAACAGTGACTTTTATGGAAGAATACCCATGACAGGAGGAGGAATATCAGTATGGATGATCAAATTGGAGGAGGTCCTTTAACACAGAACCTACTAGTGAAAAGTTGCATTTACTATCTCATCTGAAGGAGATATACAGGGGGTTGATGAGCTGATATCAGGCTATCTACTGGCAAACTTTAGATCTGCCCAGTCCTACACAACCTCATTGAAATGACAGTTTAGACCAACATCAGAAAGCACTTTAGCAGCATTTCTAATCCTGTGACAGAGAAAATGGGAGAAAACACCCAAATACAAAGAAAAGGCAATGAAATATGAAACAAAATACATCTCACACCTGTGACATTGATCTTGAAGGTCAGTTTCTGGCCAGCAGCCTCTGTACTCCCCTCCCCAGCATCCTTCTTCTCCAACTGACCCACCACCAGGCGACGCGATTTGCCCTCCGACTCCACCTTGAACTTTGTGCTGGAGGTGATCAGTTTCCCATCCTTGTACCATTTCACATCAGTCTTCTCTTGGGCCACCTCACAGTTCAGTGTGGCATTTTCTGAGAGTGCAGCTTTCACCTCTTTCTGCACTTTGTCCTTGTTGATAAATGCATCCTCTGCTTCTGTGGAGTGGGAGAAGCAATGAAAAATCACACGTGTGTTGATGCTGTTCAAATTGACCAACCCCAAATGAAAAATATGACAACTTCTATCTCTCTGTTATTTCTCGTGCTCAGACAGGACATGATCCTTTATACAGCCTCAGACCAACACATCAGCCAGTTCTGAGAAAAATGACCCAGTGCCTCAGGATTTCATCTTCCCATCTCCACATTAAATCATAGAAATCCATCATTATGATCCATAATGTAATGCTCAAATAAGCTCCCAATCTCATTTGCCACTGGGACCCATATGTAAGCCTTGCTTACTCAAGGTACTTCTTGAGTAGGCCTGTTTTCTTACTTCTTCCAGACCTATGTTCCTACACATCTGGGAGCTGATCCTACCTTTATCCCTATAAATCACAACATATGTGAACTTGCCTATTTTTTCTTTACTGGGAAATCAGAAAACATCAAGGACCACGGAGTGGGATCCATCTCACAGATTAAAGTGACAAGCTACCAGCATCTTTGTGACAGCGGATGCACACAGGTTGGTTGGTTGGTCTCCCTCATTACTCAATGAAGATCTAGACTGCATAGCCCCTGGAGCCCTGAGAGTGATTAATTTTTCTCTAGTAAGGGCACCTCAGGGACCTCTCTGTGATGAGAATGAACAAATGTCTCACCTGTGACAACAATCTTGAAGGTCAGTTTCTGGCCAGAAGCCTCACAGGTGTATTCCCCAGCATCTTTCTTCTCCAACTGACCCACCACCAGGCAACGAGATTTACCCTCTGACTCCACCTTGAACTTTGTGCTGGAGGTGATCAGTTTCCCATCCTTGTACCATTTCACATCAGTCTTCTCTTGGGCCACCTCACAGTTCAGTGTGGCATTTTCTGAGAGTGCAGCTTTCACCTCTTTCTGCACTTTGTCCTTGTTGATAAATGCATCCTCTGCTTCTGTGGAGTGGGAGAAGCAATGAAAAATCACACGTGTGTTGATGCTGTTCAAATTGACCAACCCCAAATGAAAAATATGACAACTTCTATCTCTCTGTTATTTCTCGTGCTCAGACAGGACATGATCCTTTATACAGCCTCAGACCAACACATCAGCCAGTTCTGAGAAAAATGACCCAGTGCCTCAGGATTTCATCTTCCCATCTCCACATTAAATCATAGAAATCCATCATTATGATCCATAATGTAATGCTCAAATAAGCTCCCAATCTCATTTGCCACTGGGACCCGTATGTAAGCCTTGCTTACTCAAGGTACTTCTTGAGTAGGCCTGTTTTCTTACTTCTTCCAGACCTATGTTCCTACACATCTGGGAGCTGATCCTACCTTTATCCCTATAAATCACAACATATGTGAACTTGCCTATTTTTTCTTTACTGGGAAATCAGAAAACATCACGGACCACTGAGTGGGATCCATCTCACAGATGAAAATTACAAGCTACCAGCATCTTTGTGACACAGGTTGGTTGGTTGGTCTCCCTCATTACTCAATGAAGATCTAGACTGCATAGCCCCTGGAGCCCTGAGAGTGATTAATTTTTCTCTAGTAAGGGCACCTCAGGGACCTCTCTGTGATGAGAATGAACAAATGTCTCACCTGTGACAACAATCTTGAAGGTCAGTTTCTGGCCAGAAGCCTCACAGGTGTATTCCCCAGCATCTTTCTTCTCCAACTGACCCACCACCAGGCAACGAGATTTACCCTCTGACTCCACCTTGAACTTTGTGCTGGAGGTGATCAGTTTCCCATCCTTGTACCATTTCACTTCGGTCTTCTCCAGGGCCACCTCACAGCTTAGAGTGGCATTTTGTGTCAGGACAGCCTTCACCTCCTTTTGTACCTTGTCCTTGTTTGTAAACACATCTGTCTCTGTAAGAAAACCACAATGGTCACACACTTTTTGCAGTTGTCTTCTGCAGTGCTTAATCAAGTTCCTCCTATTTCACTATACTCCTCCCTTCACAGGTAGTACCATGATGGCCCATTAAGACAAAAAAATCACCTCAATTTCTATTTTGCTGACAGGAATTCTGGGATAAAGTGAAAAATCCACAGTGTGAGCACAGGTTTGAACCTGGAACTTAGAGCACCAATATGCACTGCCTGAAACTTTCTCCCTCTTCTCTCTTTTTCTCCTCCTATATCTCTCCATGTTTCCACTTAGGGAACAGACCTTGCATCCTCATATCTAGGCACCATTGCTCTTTTTCTGCCTATTTGGGCCACTCAAATTCAGTCATTCTCCATCTATTCATAGAATTCTGGAATGGATAGGATTGGAAGGAACCTTAAAGACCATCTAGCTCCAACTCCCATGCCATGGGCAGAGACACCTTCCACTACACCAGGCTGCTCAGAGCCCCATCCAACCTGCCCTTGAACACTTCCAGGTATGGAGCCTAATCAGAGCTCTTCAAACACCTCTCCTGTCCCTTTTATGCTTCCATGGATCTCTGTTATGGCCTCACACTATGATTCTGTGGGACACACCAGATAATTGTGAGAAGAGAAGGAGTCTTTATCCTTGCTCATTATTTTTTTCTGGTTACAACTAGCCATAGATGCAGAAGCGTGACTATAAAATATTGATATGACAGTTGGCTGAAAAATTAAGTACTTAAGTGGTTGAGATATTTCACCCCAGAGAGGTTGTGAGATGATCTTCTGAATGTAAGACACTACTCAGAGTGGAATATTCCTTTATCTTTGGCATTTGTAGCATTTTCTCACCTCTGACTTTGACTTGGAATGTGGTTCTGTCATCCTTTGTTTCACAGGTATAACTCCCTTGGTCTTGCTGTGTCACCTTCTTGATGATGAGCTTGCGCTGTGTCCCCTGGGAGACAACTGTTGTCCTCTGGTCCTGCTTCACCTCAGTTTGATCCTTCTTCCATACCACAGCCCCACTTGCAGCTGACACCTCACACACCAGCTCAAGGCTTTCAGATGGACTGACTGATATTTCTGGAGTGGTTTTGGGCTTGTTGACAAAGTTAACAGCTTCATCTGGAATGAAAAAGAGAAAGCAATTTATGCCTTAATTCAGGTTTATCAGCACAAGGTTACAATACTGTAATTACTGATCATTATTTCATTATCATACACATGAATGTTGATGCCTGACTTTCTGACAGATGGTGTAAACTCCTTCTCTGATCTTCAGATAATTGCTCCCAGTTACAGTTCAACCCCATTCATCTGTCCTAAGTCCTCCTGGACCTTTTATATCAAGCTGAGATGCCCTCTAGATGTTCACACTTTATTCTCCACTCCTTGTTCCTTATTTGAAGCAAATTCTTAGGAATATCTTGATGTCTGAGTACAGAAACAAATTTGAAAACACCTAAGAAGTCTCAGAAGTCTTGTTTGAAGTGACAACGAGCCTTTAAATGTTTGAGCCCATTCCTGCAGCTCCCTGTTCATGGGATCAGTCCCATCAGACTAATTCTTTCCCAGACCAGGGAACATACAGTATCTCATTGATAAGATATTCTTCAACTTCAAGAGGACTAAGTTAGGATGAATCTCTGAGCAATCTGGCCTAGTGAATGATCTCCCTAACCACAGCAGGGGGTTGGAACTAAATGGTCTTTAAGGTCCCTTCCAACCCAAACCATTCTGGGATTCTGTGAATGTATGAGCTAGCAGTCTCACTTCTTTTTGCTGAAACTGGTCTTCCCAGTAGAGAACTCACAACTGCTCACAGCTCACATGGCTCAAGCAGTTGAGGTTCCTGCATTGATACCTCAGCTCAAACCTTGCTGATGGTACAGGTATGAGTTGTGCAAACACACACCCACATATGCAGAGTGTGTGTGTCATGTAGGCAGCAACAACACAGCATTTTTATCATCCCAGGGGCAACAACACAGCATTTTTATCATCCCAGAGTTTTTTTTTGCCAGTGTATTTGTAAAGGTAAAAGCAAAGGCAACTAAGTGGAGACAAGCACCTTGATGTAAAATGTGAGCAAACCTATACGACACACCCTGTCCCTAAGCTAACAAGCACTATTTGATGAGCATGTCATGTATTTCATACCCTCCATTCCATCAGGGCAGCTCTTGACTGAATAGCAAGCTGAGGGCTGTCAGTTAGAGCCAACCTTAGCTCAGTATTGCATTTCTTTCAGCAGCAACTGTTGCTTTCAGTCACTGACTATCCCAAGGATAATCACTATGCTACACCCATGCCAGGCAAGCATTTAATTTAAAATGGCAATTATTAGGAATGATCTATTCTTTAAAAATTAAATGACTGAAGGATAGTCCTCCTGAATCCTCCCATTCAGGAATATTGGGGTATCTAATTGCCATAAATGCAGACTGAGTCCTTGCCCTAAGACTACCCCTGACTGTGCAGTGCTGCTTCCTGGCACTCTGAAGAATTTTTATGGTGACATGTGAAACAGGGTGGAAGCTAAGGTGTTGTTAACAGGTTGTAACTCAGTCCTTGTTCAGCAAAAAGTCTGTGGGAATGGGACAAGAGGGAATAGCTTCACACTGACAGAGGGCAAGTTTAGATTAGATATTAGGAAGGAATTCTTCCCTGTCAGAAGCTGTGGCTGCACACCCCTGGAAGTGTTCTAGTCCAGATTGGATGGGGCTGGGAACAACCTGGTCTAGTTGAAGGTGTCCCTCCCATGGCAGGGGGTTGGAACTTTGGAACTAGACGATCTTTGACGTCCCTTACAACCCAAACTATTCTGTGATTCTGTTATTTAGTAGATTCCAATTATTTTTGCCTGAGCCATGTGATGTTTTATTGCAGAAGTTACAGGTGAGATTCACCTAATCTGCCCATAATCACTAAACTGTCAGGTACCCAGCTCTGGTGATAATGCAGCCTTCCTCTGTACCTGATCTTCAGACAGAGGCAGTTCCAGAACACTTTTTAAATCCATCTCAGGTCACTTTAATCCGACAGTATAAATCAGATGATACAAATTGCCCTTTGGGAGTCAGTTCAGGCAGAGCCTGGTTGGCCCTTGTAGACCAGTTTCTCAATGAGTAAAGTCAGGGAATGTGAATTACACTCCAAGTGAAATTGCATGATGCTGGATTCTTAGCAAAAGAGAACTGGAGGTGAGATGCAGAGTGAATACCTGAGAAAACACCAGCTGCACACTGCAAGAAATTCCTCTAGCTCAGTAAATCCTGTACCAATCCCTCAGGATGAGTGCTGTCCTAAATTAATCAGTTTTGCTGAATTTTTAGTTAGCTGATGAACAGCATCATAGTAACATGGATGTACTGTTACAGATCACAAGCACTCAGTGGTGAATTCCCTAAAATTGCATTGTACTGCAGCATGCAGACATGCCATGAGAAGCTTTGAGTAGAGTTTCAGTCTTAAAATTAGGACCAGGTTAAAAATTAGGCTCCAGGCAGAAGCCAGAAAACCACTTTTGGAAGAAAGGTTCCTGCTGGGCTATACAAATCGAAGCAGTTGAATTTCACAGATATTGAATTTCACAGACAAATTCTTGTGTCATTTTATACTCTGGCTCCATCCTGGACTGGAATGCAGTGGTGACAAGCATTTCTCTTCTGGGCTTGACGTGACAGCCACGTGCTCTATGTGATGGGCACGTGACATGACCTAATAGTGTTGCTTACAGTACTGCAGAGAGATGTCTCTGAGATCACAGTGTCCTTTGGGAATAGCAGGAGATGCTTAACTCTCAAAATCGGGACTTAAACTTGACAAAGGAGGACCCAGGACTTTCAAAGTAAGACTTTGGACCTCCTGACCAAGGTGGCTTTTAGATGAAAACATGCTGGGATAAAAGAATAAACCCAGATGTGTCTCCCAGCTGCTGTTCAACCAATGTGGTGTTTAAGTCATGACTCCAGCCCTAATAAAAACCTGTGCTGACTCAAATATATCACAGCATTGTCATATTATTTGCCCACACCGTGGATTTCCATAGGGATCACAACAAGGGTCAGAGTCCCTAAAGCAGTGTTGTGCAAGCTTGGCCCAAAAATCTGACAATTTACAAAGCAAGACAAGTATAATGAATGAAATCCTGAGTTTCTCACACAGACTCTCATCCCACACCTGCACCACAAACTTACCTGAGACTTTTAAATCAAAAACAAGAGTGTCATCTCCAATTTTGCATGTGTAAGTTCCTTCATCTTCTTTGGTCACAGCTGAAGCCACAAGCTTATGCAGTTTGCCTTTATCTTCCATGGTGAATTTCTTGCTGGCTGTGATTTCTTTCCCATCTTTGTACCACTTAACCATGATGTTGGCCTCAGAGGTCTCAGAAACAAATTCAGCCTGTTTTCCAGCGATGACTTTGATAAGTCCTCCACTTTTCTCTTTGTTTATAAAGTTTGCAAGTGCTGAAACAAAATAAAAACACACAGATCTGATAAATAATTGTGTGGACATCAGTGAATATGTACTCTTACATTAGGTGTTCATTTATCATAAGACCCAATCTGCATGTTTAATTATGGATCTAATTACTAGATTCTAATGCAGAAGCAGCCAAATTTCCAACCATATTCCTGATTATCACATGTCCAAAAAGCAGGGTACATATACAACACAGGAGGCTGAGACAGGAGTAGAGGAAGACTAGGCAATATCTGAGAGAGGTTAGGAAAGAAATTAAAGAAGCAAATTGGAGGGAAAGCCATGAAGGTTATTCATCATTGTAACCACCTGGCAAGTAAATTGACTCTGGAAGAGTTTAAAATATACTCTGGATAAATTCAGTCTATCTATCTAGGTATCTCATAGGACTGAAATGAATAGAAATTTATTACTGGAAATTAACTGGAGCATAGAAAATAAACAATAAATCTGGCATCATATTAACATGTAGTGAAATAATTGAGTCACCAATTGCCTCAGAGCAAAAGATTCAAAACCCCACCAATATCCAAGCTAAAAATGTGACCCTGAAACCATAGTCTCATCTTGCTTTAGATAATGGATTTCATTTTCAAACATCTTCTTAACATATTATTTTAAGACAACCCAAACAGTCAAGTCTCTTTTAGTTGGGGCTTTGCAAAGCTATGAAAACTAATGCTTTGATAGTGAAGAGAAGAGAAAAGGGAAGGGAAAAGGGAAGGGAAAAGGGAAAAGGGAAGGGAAAAGGGAAGAACCAGTGCAAACAGAGGTCTTTCTAGCTCTGGTCCTCAAGGCCCTTGGTTTAATAACCAGATTCTTGCAGGGACAGGAGTTTGCATTTGACCTCCCCAGGTCCCTACCAGCCCTGTTGTCTAGAGTTTACTCACTCTGCTTATTAGAAGCAATACCTGTGGGGAAAAAAAGTCATAACAGAAATATTTAAAGCAGGGAAACCCTCCTTTTCTTTTACTACATTTTCTTAGGACCTCTCCTCTCACTTGTTTCTCTAGTGATCCACAACAGTAGAGCTTTCCCTTAGGTAGGACAACATTGCAGTCTGTCTCTACCCAACCAGCTACACCCATGAGACCTGAAGGGACCAAACACTGCTGAGACATTTCCTTCTCCACCAGCATTACTGGAACTCAGCATCCAGGTTAAAAGTTTTGGGAGGAAGAAGAGGGAGATGTGTTCATTCACACATCTTTCACTTCCTCAGAAAACAAGTGTGAAAAATACAACCACAGCAGCCTGAAGGAGACTTCTCAGATGTCCCATTTCAACACAGGAGGTCATGTGTCAGAGGATGCCTGGCACATGAAGTCTCATGGCAGTGGAGGGACTCCTGTGATAAATGGCAAGTGCATTTTCTAGCTGGGTTTGGGCAGGAGGCCCAGTCAGTGACACAGTGGCCGTGGCTCGGCACAGTGGCCTCTCAGCAGCCACGTGATACCCATGTGCCACATACAGCTGACCTGCTCCTCAAATGCTTCACCAGCTCCTGTGGCTGATTTATAAGAGGGACAGATAAAAGATAATGATGATGAAAGGTAAAATACTGATATAGCATTTGTGAGGCTCATCCTACAAGAGGTACCTAAGGTGATTCTTCAGGTAGCAAGGTGTAAACAGAAGACATTTAAGTTACAGCTTGTCAACACAGATTTTAAGATAATAACATGGATTACTCATTTGTAAGTCACATTACAGTGAAAAGCACATGGAAAGGTCCATCAGCTAATTCAATTAAATCTGTGGGTGATATAGCATTTGTGAGGCTCATCCTACAAGAGGTACCTAAGGTGATTCTTCAGGTAGCAAGGTGTAAACAGAAGACATTTAAGTTACAGCTTGTCAACACAGATTTTAAGATAATAACATGGATTACTCATTTGTAAGTCACATTACAGTGAAAAGCACATGGAAAGGTCCATCAGCTAATTCAATTAAATCTGTGGGTAGAACTGTCAGCATGCAATGCGAGAAGAGAGAGAGAGAGAGAGAGAGAGAGAGAGAGAGAGAGAGAAATCAAAATTAAGAGCAGCTGCCAAGTGTAGATGGAAATTCCTCACTCTATAGATTTAGTCACATTTTTAATTGGTTTTTTTCAGCTCTCTCTTGAGTTTGCTCTCTGAGAATAATCAAGCAAGTTGTCAAATGCAAAAATACACACATTTCTCTGGGGCTTTGTTGTTTCTACAGAGACCAAGGAAGGTGAGATGCCAGCAGAACATGATGATGAAGCACCTCATACTTACTTCATGTAGAAACAGTGTAATCATCCCTGGGATGAAGGTGAAGGGAGAATTATGGGACAGTACATGGAAATCAAATGGCTTTACAGAGTGAACTTGCCAGTCCAAAGTCCTATGAAGAACAGTGTGGGGATACACTGGGGTTTTTTAGTCAAAACCTACCCCCTTCAAGGCAGAGAATACTCTCCTATAAACTAATTCAGAAAAGCTTGCACAGATGGGAAGGTTTGCAGGACAGAGGCTTAATGCTGTTGGTTTCAGGGTAAAGGTAGAGATTACCAATAAAAGCAAGAACAGCTGAAAAACTAGGGCAGCTGTCAAACAGTGCAGGTTCAAATCTAACAAGTAAGAAACATCAACATAAAATTCCATTTTGCTGGGTTTTCTATACAGCTGTCCATCTGAACACCTTGCAAATAGGAATAGGTCAAGACATCCAGTATGCCCTGGAAAGGTCTGTTTTATCCACCAGGGTGTTGACAGAAAACAAACAAAAAAATCCAAACCAATTAAAAAAGAATCCCACAATGCCAAGATGACCCTGGTCCACTGGAACTTTAATCAGAGCTGAACTAGCTCTTTAGTGACTTGTTCAATATAACACAGCAAGTGTAGGGCAGATGTGGAACCATGTGTGTCATGTCCTCCTGCCCCTGTGGCTGAATTTCTTCATCACAAGAGCATATTTTCCCTATCAACCATTCAAGCTCATGAAATAACACCTAGTTCCCTTTGATGTCAAGATGCCAATTTGAGTGAAAGCACAGCTCTTCCCACTGAGCCAGCACTAGATCTTATATTCACTCCCCCGTTCTCCTGCTCTGGGACCAGAGACACTGCCAAGGCTGGATGTTGATGGGGAATTACCACAACTCCCTCTGGACCACTGCCCATGTGTCCCTTGCTGACTCCATTAGTTTAGGGCAGGAACAGGGAATTAGTACAAAGCAGCCCAGGCAGCCACATACCTTTCACTGAAAGCTGATAGAGCATCTTATCCCCTTCACAGATGCACTCATAAACTCCAGCATCCTCTGATGCAGTGTTCAGGATTTTCAGGATGTGCCTTTTCCCCACAGTTTGAAGTTCATATTTTTCACTGGCCTTGAGCTCTTTCCCATCTTTCATCCACTTCACAGTGACCTCTGTGTCTGACAGCTCAGCCTGGAGTTTGGCTTCCTCCCGCAGCCGAGCAGAGATTTTTTCTACATCTTTGCTCTTGTTGGTAAATCTCACTGCAGCACCTGCCAGGACAAATGGCTTTGTTATTTCCCATTAGTTTGAGATAGCATGTCCCTCATACAAGCATGCTGTAGACTAAGATCTCCCAATGTATTAGATCCTGTTCTTGCCCTCACACTCACATCAATACAGAGCATTTTTTCCACCTTGGAAGATTTGATCTGTTTTTATTGCTAGGGTCACTAAGGAAAAAATAAACACTGCATTTTTTGCTGCTGAGTAATACTCTCAACACACTTCTGCAGAGATTTTCACCCAAAGCCAAACACATCCTTCCAGAATTAATTACATTTTGACATGCAATATGGGTAGACACAGATGACATCATAATTTCATAGAGGAAGCACCCAGCTCTTGATGTAAAATCAAGTTACATGATACTAACTTGTACACCACAGACATGGTGGACTAAAAATCCTCCAAGAAAAAAGCTTTTAAATGTTCCTTTAATTTTGAAAAAACTCTATTACAGTCAGAAACACCAGCTGAGTTGGATCTGAAATTACCACTTTAAGGTGACTCAGTGGTAGATTTGGTGACAGAATCCACTGACTGATGGTTGTGAATAACAGAAATTCGCTGAGCTGACGTCTGGTTCAGATCCCATGAGCTGGATAGGCTGGCTCACTCTGTATTCTATGCTGTCAAATGAGGTCATTACTACGACCCACACTAGTTTACATGATGCAGTCTCAAGCACTTCCCACAAACCAGGCATCAGTGAAAGCCTCTAGCCCCAGTTCTAATCATCAGGTCCCAGCAACAGCCCCTTGGCTGAAAGATTAAAGGACAGTGATGAAAATAAATACCTTTCACTCTCATCTTGGTGCTGGTGTCAACATTATCGGCAACAAATTTCACTTCTGCTCCATCATCTTTCTTGCTGACACTCTTTATGATTAGGGTATGAGTGGTTTGGGTTCTCTTAATGATGTAGGTCTCACTTTCCTGTATGGCTTTGCCATTAAGGTACCACATGCCAGAACATGTCTTGGTAAGGTCAACAGTAAACAGGGCATCCCCTCCAGGTATCACTTCAGCTGTTGTCATGGGGGTTTTCACAGCCAGGACTGGTTCTAGGGAAGAACAACAACACATACCTCTGAGAACAAGACACAAGACAGCCACACTGGAGAACAGATCTTCCCAAGAACAAAGTCCTCAGGGTAAACAAGACATGAGAACAAAATCATGCAGCCTAATACAATTTGTGTGCACTGAAAGCAATGCAGAGTTGGTGAACAGGATTTGCTTCCTACAGTTGCAGGTAACTGACCTCTGGCATTAAGGTAAATCCTGTTTCTGCAGGGAAAGAACAATAGGTATATTTTACTGGGTTTTTTTTGTCCCCAGGACGTTTGAAGGCATAATGTGAAGCACCTACCTTCCCCTACAAGTGTGCTATGAATTTAATAACCAGTATTATTCTTAGATTTCAGAAGGTTCCTGAGGAGTCACTTCTAGATATTCTATCAAAACACAGGCACATTCAGACATGGAGGGAAAAGGGTGAAACAATAAGAAGACACAGTATGATCAAAGTCTGTGCAGATATTTTCTAGTGCAGTGAATCAAAGGAAGAAGCAATTCCATTGCACCCAATGATTTTTATAGGTACATTGGCACCCTAGAAATAAAGTAAACACCCCATATTTTTTCCAGGAACTCTAAGATTAAAGAGAGACTGGCTGGAATTTGGTTTTAATGATGGTATGATCAACCATAAATATTTTCTCAGTGCAAGATTGATATCTCACACAAATATTGCAACTTGCATCATAAGCCCACCTCAATTTTCCCTTTCATATCAGGCCTAGAAGAAGCACTTACAGGTTAAAGGTCCATTGCAGAGAGCTCTGCCTCTTACACAGCTTGACATGAGATAGTGCAATAGAAGCACTCCCACAGCTCTGCCACAAAAACCCAACCACCACCACTTTGGGGATGGTCAGTGGCTGAAATGAGGGAGGAGAACGAGCAGCGAAAGGAAAAAGGTTTTGCTGTGCCATTGCTCCATCCTCAAAGTCATGGGGAATGTTTTTAAAGCACCCACATGTCTGATCACCCCAGACAGACCCATTTTATACTGGTTTTGCACTCACCGAGGTGCATGCTCCCTGGGAATTCCAGGTAGGGGCTCTGTCCATAGGCATTGACTGCAGACACTCTGAACTGATAGTCAGCCTCTTCTGGCAGGTTGTTCACTGTGAGTTCTGGGACAGGGACATGGGATTCATGGCACCTCACCCAGGTAAAGCCAGTCAGTTTCTTGCGTTCCACAATGTAGCCATCAACTGGAATGGGACGATCCATCTTTGGAGGGGACCATGCTAGTGTCACTGAGGTTTCTGTTTTATTTTTCACCACAGGGTCAGCTGGGGGTTGGGTGGGAGGTTTTTTGGGTGCTGCACAAGGGAAAGAAACAAACCAAAACAGAATAATCAGTTTATGTCAGAGTGGAAAAGCCACTATGCCTGGCTGAAAAAGCTTACCCTGGACTAAAAGCTACTCTTGCTTGAAAAACTTCCATAAAACATTGATGTGAGATGGAAAAGAAAAGAAAGAGAACGGATACTTCTGGGCTGCATTAGCAAAGATCATAGAATCATTAAGGTTGGAAAAGACCTCTGAGATCATCAAGTCAGGGGGCAATGGGCACAAATTGAAAGAGAGAAATTTAGGTTAAATATTAGGAAAAAGTTTTTTCCTATGAGTGTGGTGAGACACTGATCAGGGAGGCAGTAGAAACCCCAGTCCTGGTAGTGTTCAAAACCAGGTTGAATGAAGGCTTGAGCAATGTGGTCTAACAGGAGGTGTCCCTGCCCAGGGCAGAGGGAATTGGAGCTACATGATCTATGAGATCCATACCAATCCTGAAAATTCAATGATTCTAGGAGTCCAACCTTTAATGTACAATAGTCATACCTCCATAGCTAAACATACATGATTTCTACACACTACAACTGTCAGCACAGACAAAGAGTCTACAACAAACATTCCCTATACTTATATTGTTCAGTGCTAGAAACAGACCCACACTGCTGCCTACACAGCTCCTGGGCAAAGCTGACTAACACAGCTTCCTATTTTCACTCAGAAGACGGGTAAAACCACCATCAAATGTTGTTCAAACCTTTTAAAGTTATGGAGATCACAGTTGCTTGTTACACAGGCTGTTCTCCTCAGTCATTTTCATCTGGGTATCTGTCCTCTGTCCTGCTTCTGAATTTATGTTCTCTCCACTCAGAAGGTGTGTTATAACTTTGCCTTAGTCACCTAAGTGATAGCTATTGATGGGGATCTCTGTTTTAGCAATTTATGCAGAATGAGCTTTTGGAGTTTGCGAATTAACTTCAAAAGGAAGTTACATAAAGGTGTCCTGACTGTGAAACCATACAATTGAGGGGATGTGGCTATATTACAGTACCTGAGGCTACAAACTTATCTCTGCAGGTATTTGCATATTCACCCTCTCATTTCTCCTGAGCCCTTTAGAGAAGGCTCAAGTCAAATCAGTACTATTCACTATGTGCTGCCACTGATACAGTCAAGAGACTAGGAATTATCAGATATGCTCTAGTTACACCTCTGCTGATGTGGCAAAGGATTCATTTCACTTAATTTTAGCTATCTGAAAGGTGTCTGGGTTAAGTCAGTCAAGCAGACTCCAACTGTAAATCCCATTGAGAACAGCACACTCAGGAGAAAGTCATCCCAGCTTAAAGGAGATGTGAGAGATGAGTGAAACAATCAAACATTGCAGATTCTCAAGTATTCATGACTGTAGAGAGAGCCTGTATGATGACACTAGACTGAAAACTGAACTCTTTCTGCTTCAGTTTACCCATCTTTAAAATGGGCAAAGTAACATAAGGTAGCAATACAAAGTACTGAGCAAATAATATACAAACGTTGCTTGTATATTATAAATGCTATTAGAACAGCCAACACCAACCTTATCCAGCTAATTAAAAAAGATGTGAGTATAGTACACAGGATTCTCCAAGAAGTGAATCTGATATGCATGAAGTGTAAAAATAGGAAATCTCAATGCGATCCCCTTTTCCTTCATTACATAAATAGACACGTAAGTGTTTTGGGGTGCACAGTTACCAGGCTGTCAGTAACTGCTGGTCAGAGCTAGGTGTCAAAGGTCCCATTAGGGTAACATTAAGCTGAATACTAAGCCATGGAATGAGATCTCTTGATTTTGTCATCAGAAATGGTAATGTAATATTTTCTTCGGTGATGCCTGTTTGTGGGAAGGCCTTACCTTTTTCTATTCCATGAGTCAACACTTTCTCATAGCTTAAACAGCAGAGTCTGAAATCAAACTGAACTTTGTTGTTTCCAGTGAAAATGTGCTTGGCTGGATGTTTTAGCTTTCCAAACTCCTTAGAACTGTCACAAATCCAAATGTGATGCTTCCCTCATTTTATTCTCATTTTAGCTAAATGGCATCAGAATGTTTAGATAACACAGCAATTATAAATTTTAAATCAAAGATTCCTTTTTGCCACTGACTGATTTCAGTTTGGAAGTGGTGTTGGGAGAAAAGAAGCATTATTATTCCCAAATTGTGACTAGAGTAGATGATTTATTCACATAAAAACCAGAACTGCAGCACAGCCAGAAACCACATGCAGTTCTGTCTTAAATGAAGCAGATTCTGCCTGGGAAATGTGGTGTTATCAAAATAAAGATAAATAAAATTAGTCAACTTCACCAAAATTTCGTTTCAGGTCCAATCTCAACTACATTGCACCTGGTGCAACTGCTCAGTCAACTAAAATACATGTCTGTGCCATGCTCTTTCCCCAGGACTGCTCTTGCCCAGAGGAGCTGTGGATTCCCCATTCTTGGAAGTGTTGAAGCCAGGTTGGATAGGGGCCTGAGAAACCTTGTCTAGTAGAAGGTGTCCTGGTCTGTAGCAGGGGTTTGGAACTAAGTGATCTTGAAGGTCCATTCCAACCCAAACCATTCCATAATTCTATTACTCTTCTCTCTCTGTTCTGATCCCTCCACAACATCTCGTAACAGTCATGTCCAGGCTGTTGCCTTTTTGTGGCAGACAGCAAACCTTCTGCTGTCTTTGGACAACAACCTTACTATGGTAGTACCCGAAACAACAGGGCTACCACAGGAGTACCTGCTCACCAGGGAAGACACAACACCAAGGCCAAATAAAAGCGAAGCTTACTGGTCACAGTGAACTGGGTAGTTGTCCTGCTTTCATCAGCCAGGAAGGCAATCTCACCAGCATCCTCCATCTTACACTCTCGGATAGTCATGGTGTGTTGTTTGCCAGAGCAAGTGATGGAGATTCGGTCACTGGGTTTCACTTCTTCTTTATTTTTGAGCCATCGGATGTTCTGGCAATCATTGTCCAGCTCCACACAGAAGATGGCTGTGTCATTTATGAACACTGCAGTCTTGCGTGGAAGTTTTTTAATGATGTTCCCTTCAAATAAGAGAATCATCATGGTCAGCAAACAGCAGATATTAAAAGCTTTGGCAACATTGGACCATCCAGACTGCAACAGAACTAGTCCACACCTAATCAAAACATCATAGACACTATGCAGACACTCCTAAATGAATTCTAAGGTTCTGAGTTATACAGAGCAGATAATCTCAAGGACTCATTTTGGTATTCAAAGAGAGAAAAACAATCTTGTTTGACTACAATCACTCATGTTTCTCACCTACCATGCAAAGTGTGCTGCTGGGTAAACACAAGGTATGTGGCCTTGCCAAGAACAGATTTAATAATGATACACATTTCATTGCCCACATATGTAAGGAGTTCAAATGAAAACTTTGCTGAAGGAGCTCAGTCTTAAAACAGACAGATCTCATCTGTCTTTGGGATTTTGCCTCCATCAAAGCTACCAGTAAGTGACATAATCAAGATGGCAAACACATCAGTCACCTGAACTAATGGGAAATACACCAAAACCCTCTGATTTCTTCTTAGAGTGAACCCAGAAATTCACATGGAATGAATTTCTGCCCATTCCAATCGACTGTGATGATTATCACTTAGTAGAATAACCTCAAAGTTACAAGATGTGACTATTCACAGGAAAGATTGGACAAAGCATCAGGAAACTACTCCAGCTGACAGATGGTGAGGTGACTGGCTCCTGCTTTGTAAGTCCCTGTGAGGTGTGAGAACCCTCATCCAGGCACATCACCTAGAGGTATTTAATGAGAAGCAATGCTAAACTCATTCATGAAGCAACAGATCAGGCACAGATTTCATCAGTAGGGTCCAAGACCCTGATTCTCTGTTCACCCTCCTTCTCGGCCACACTACCCTCATCAGTGTCTCCATCCCCACAGACCTCTACATCTGGCCAAATTCTCACATTCTCTCAATCCCATCCTGCTCTCTCAAATCTTCTCCCAGGGCAGGCACAAGGCTCCCTCAGGAAAGGTCTGCCTCCTTTCCCTCCAGAGAGATCAGTCACTCTCTTTTTAATGGAGCATACCATTATAGCACAAACAAGTAAAAAACATACCAGCCGTCCTGCTGGGGCCAAACACACTTACACTGGTTGGCTGTTCTAGACATAACAGATGGAGCAACAAAAAATGTCTGTCTGAACTCTCCCATGTCTCTGGACTAGATTCTCCCTTCTGCATTCACCCATGAACACTCTCAGCTCCTTGCTGATAATACAAAAATGGAATTTGCACCAGGATACACATTACAGAAATCTGTGTAGTGAAGAACTTCTGGTTTCACTGGAAATAACTTCAGGCTTCCAATGAGTCAGGGCAAGAGCAATCCTGTAGCTGTCACAGGTCTCCAATGCCTGCAACTCTGGTGTCTATGTCTACTTGCTGGGAGGCATCACACCTGGCTCTACATCTACTTGCACTTCAGCCCCAATGCACCAGACTTGGGATACCTGAACATGAATCTGCATCCACATTTTGCCCCTTTCTCATCAGCTTTCCAAACTCCAAAGAACAGATTCAGCTGCCAAGAGATCTGGAGAGTGGATCTGGTTTCCAAACTAGACCGTCCTGGTGCTGTCTGCAGCCTGCATCACACATCAGACCACAAACCACATCTGCTAAGCCCACTTTCCAGCATGGTCAGCATCTCTCTGGGACAAGATTCACCACTGTGATCACTGCACAATAGACAAGATGTGTGACAGTGCCAAGGGACCCATTTGATGCTTGTGGTCATGTTGAGAAAAGTCTCAGTGCTAGGCGACATCTCATGGGCATCTCAGAAGGCCCTGTCAACATCAGTCCCCACTGGGTGATGTCTTGTGCGGCAACATAATCTGTCCCCTCTCTCCAACCCTGTGTCCCAGATGCACCATGGTAGAAGCCCCAGGGACCCACTGACTGGGATCTACTCCCACAGCATAAGGGTCTCTGCTGCTCTTCACTGCCCACATGCACAGGCTAAATGCCATTTACGAGGTCAAATCTGGAGTGCTGCTCCCCATGAATCTCAAACTTGGTAGGTGAGATTTGGCCAATCTTGAAACTGCAAAAGCCTTACCTTGGACAGACAACTCTGCAATGGTCCTGCTCCCTTCTTTCATCTCACAGATATAAACAGCATCATCATCTGCAGTGACATTCTGGACAGTGAGCCGGCGGTACGTGCCCTCTTCTTCAATGTTGTACTTCTTGCTCTGCCGGAGTTTGGTTTCCTCCTTGAACCAAGCTGTCTCTGTCCCAGGAACAGGTACTTCACATTGGAAGGTGGCAGATTCCTTTTCCCTCACTTCAAGATCCTTCAGTTTTTCCTTGAATGGTATGGAGGGCTCTTAAGAGGGTAAAAACAAAGAAGAAACAAGAGTTTATGATGAGTGTAGGTTTAGATAAGATTTTTAAGAAGAATTTCTTCTTTGTGAGGGTGGTGAGGCACAGGTTGCCCAGAGAAGCTGTGGCTGCCCCTTCCCTGGAAATTTTCAAAGCCAGGTTGGAGTAAAAGCCCTTAAAAGTAATCCTGCTACAGTTGGGTCAATAGTAAACAAGCTGGTCATGAGGATTGGGACAGGGCAACAATTCTAGGTGTGAGCGAGCAGTTGAGCTGGTCAGCTGATACAAAAACCAGTTTTAGGGATCTTGCAGCAGATGTGAGCTCAGCAGAGTGATCTGAAAGGGCACAGAAAGATGAGAGGTGGCTGTGCACAGGACAGATGTGGGGGAAAGCACGGAAGTAAGTGATGGAGGAGTTTCCAGTTCTCCCCACCTGTGCCAAAGGCTCTGTATCAGCTTTTGCCAATGACAATCAGAGAAATAGAGAATGACCCCAAATCTCTCAACTACCTCTGCTTTCCTCCAGCAGTGGGGCTGCAGTGCTCCGGCTTAGGGAGAAACCAGGGTGTAGTTCAAGCACACAAAACAGCTGCATGACAGTGAGGGAAGTAATTTTATGAACTGAACAACATTTAATTCCATTGACAGCTGTGCTGTGACATCATCCTGATACCCCAGCCCTAAACTGGAGAAAGGGGAGTTGGACTGAAGAGAACAGCTGGTGGTCACTGCCACGGGACTGATGCCACAGTCATGTCACAGACTTGTATTAGCCGGTGCTGCTGCACAACCACTCATGCTTTGTGAGAGCTCATGTCTTGATATATAACTTCACCTTCTAATAACTACTGTGCCAGCTCCCAGCCCTTTTTTGTGGTTCCATTCTGCCTCACCACACTCACAGTAAATCATTTCTTCCTACTATTTGATATCAACCTCCTCTCTCTCAGTTTAAATAAGATACCAGACACTAAGGGCAGGACACCTGGAGGGAGCAATGCTATCAACTACTTTGTTTGTTACCTGAGACAAAAACCCCACTGGGACTCTATACAATACATTCAGGAACAGGAAGGTGACACTAACTCACTATGACAACTCAGTTATTTTTTAAAAAATTATTTTGCCTAAATCCACCTCAATTTAAGGCAAGTCAAAGTCTTGTCTTCAAAAGTCTTCAGCTACAGTTACACAGACCTGCTCTGCCCACACTCCACATGTTAATTATCCTTTTTTCTTTCCAGCAGGAACCTCACACTCCTGCTTTGCAATCCTGTGTATCACCTCTGGAATCACCTCAAGCTCCCATTAAGAGGGAATGAAACAGAACAAGCAAGAGGATCCTTAGAGCAACTTCCAATACCTAAACAGGATACAAAAGACCTGGAGAGAGACTTTTACAAGGCCATGGAGTGAAAGGACAAGGGGGAGTGGCTTCAAACTGATAGAGAGCAGTTTTAGATTAGATATTTAGAAGAAATTCTTCCCTGTGATGGTGGTGAAGCACTGGCACAGGTTGCCCAGAGAAACTGTGGCTGCCCCATCCCTGGAAGTGTTCCAGGTCATGTTGGATGGGGCTTGCAGAAACCTGGTCTAGTGGAAGGTGTCCCTGCCCATGGCAGGGGATTGGAACTGGATGATCTTGAAGGTCCCTTCCAACCCAAACCACCCCAGGACTCTATGAGATGAAGAAAGCTCTGACCAGAAGGATCATGCCAGCCTCAGAGGGCTGGATGCAGTGCTGCTGTGTGAGATAGGAGGGAGTCAGGAGCTGACACTAGGAACACATAGACATGCCCAAGGGTGAAAATAAATAGGAGATGCACCTGAGAAAAACACAAGTATATTCTCATACTTGGAGCAACTGCTCATATCATTAACCCTTCTCCCTTTACAGTCACTAAGCAGTATCTAAGGTAAAAAATACATAGCTGTTCTAGGAAAAAGCTCTTAAACATACAAACACAGAAGGGTTGGTTGACTCTTTGATATGTATTGCAGTAACAGCACTGCTCTTCCAGTGAGGGGAAGTCTGTACAAGGCCATCTTTGGCAGCTTGAGGTCACAGATGTCCTCTGAAAACAACTTAGCTTTTGTCCTACTGACATATGCACACATGTCTTATCTCGCTCTGAATGGAAGTCCAGAGAGACAGCAGCTGAAAAACTGAATTTAAGCAGAGGATACACCCAGCCCATGTCTTTTTCTGCTTTGGAGATGTAAGAGTAGCCCCAAACCCACCAGCTTCTTCCTCCTGAATATATCTTCATGCTCTTTACAAGGTCTAGCATCTACCAGCCAGACAAGAGGGGGTTAATTTTGGTCAGGGGACCACAGGTCTCTTGAGGGTAGGGATCCAAATTCATCTGGCTCATGGCCAGCCCCTTGCCCAGGTCAGAGAGATCCAAATAAGAGATAAGAATCCTGCAAAAACCTGCCTCCTGGGAAAGATGCAAGGGAGACACAGCTAAGCAAAACCCTGAAGGAGCACAGAGCAAGAGCTGCTCAAGAAGTTAGCAGAAAGCTGCAAGACCTTAGATCAGAGATGAATTTGGCTGCTTGTCTTGATGAGATATTTATCTTGAGTATCATAGGCTTTTTTGTTTGGTCCACAGCAAGCAAACTGGCAACAAGATGATGTTCTTTTTATAAAGCAGGTCCTGCTAACACATATTTTACTAAGAACAGGTGCAGCCTGCAAAGATGCCAATGTTTCCTTAACCTTCTCAAGGCATATCTGTCTGCTGGACCTGATTTGCTCACTCGCCTACGTTTCCCCTTGCTTATTGCTGGCATTCTCATAGGTGCTCCACTTGTTATTCCAGAGGCAATTTTTCCTTCTGTTTAACACAGACACTCACCCAGTGAGGGGAAGAGTACAGAAAATCCTCTCAATAGGAGCAAGCTAAAGGTGGATGGACAAGCTTCCACCGTGTTGTGCCTTAGGTCTTCCTAGTTACTATGTTTTCCATGTTTCCCTTCTACCTCAGCATTTCTCAAGTTGCAACTGTCTTTCAGATCTCCAATGTGACTGTCATGACAGTGGTCATCCAAAATCACCCTAACACTAACCCTGCACCAGTCTGTTTTTCCAATCTCTATCCTGTTTGGCTTCCAACCTTTAACCTTTTCATACAGTATCTGATTACTCTATTCAGGGACTCAGATGAACATTACTTGGCCCAGGACAGAGACCTGAATAGTGTTCTCACTAACTTTACACATAGCCTGGGGAAATCTCCAAAGCCTTCAGAAATTCAAGCTGCTTATTCATGTTCCTCCCAACCTCCCCAGTCTTTGGTTGTTAAAGGTTCACTCTTGGGAAGGATTTCCCAGCCTCTTTTCCAGCTCACATCTCAGTGTACGGATTGTGATTTTTATCCCTGCTCTAGACGTGTTTCTGAATCTAATCCAGTCTTGGTGTTTCTTAACTAGGAGAGTGACTCTCTGCCCCATAGCACCTCCTTTGAAATTTGTGTCTGATTCAGTGGAATCATTTGGGAACAGCTCAAAAATCTCTTTTTTTTTCAGCTCAGTGATCCCTAAGGCATGAGCTAAGCAAAGTGTTTCATAGAATCGCAGGATCAGTTAGGTTGGAAGGGACCACAGTGGGTCATCTGGTCCCACCTCCCTGCTCAAGCCTGCCAGAGGATGTTTAAACCCACAAAGTTTGTCTTTCCTGGTATGTGTGTCCATGGGCACACACTGTGGATGCAGGATCACAGGCTCTGTAAATATGCTGTTACCTGCAGAATGACAAGCACAGCCTCACAGTGTGTACCAAAACACTTGGGGACTTTCTATGCAGGACCAGGAGTTGCAGAATGACAAGCACAGCCTCACAGTGTATACCAAAACACTTGGGGCTTTTCTATGCAGGGCCAGGAGTTAGGCTTCAATGATGCCTGTGGGTTGCTTCCAACTCAGGATACTCTATGATTGACATTGACCAATAACCTTTGCCCATAGTGCTTGTGCCCAGACTAGCTCCTTCTCATGCTTTCCCCACCTCTTTTGCAGCAGGTTGCAGTCATTGAGAATAATCAAAAAGGCATGGGCAGAGCTGGGGGTGTTTGTCTTCACAAGAAAATTGTTGAGCAAGGAGCTGAGCTTAAACCATCCTCAAAGCGATCACTCACCCAAGGGCCAGGCTCAGTCTTCAGCTCTGAGTCCCAACTCATGAGGTAATCACATCTCTTTGGAAGAGGACAAACACCCCTCCCAACACCACTCAGCACCTCCAAAGGACAGCAATGGGTTGGACAAGTGCCAATGAGTTCCATGGATCAGGTGTCACTGATGGACACAGGGACTAAGCCACTAATGGGAAAGATGGTGAGTATGAAAGGAGAGGTACAGAAAAGGGAAACCAGAAAACCAAAAGAACAGCCACTGAG